TTCACTGTGAAAGAAGACAAGAGAGGGCACACCGGCAGAAGGACATCTCTGTAGCTAGGGACTTGTTCAGAAAGCAGGGCCCCTGGAAATGCTGGTTTAGCAATTGGCATGTCTGAGGAAGAGGAAAGATGCCATTTCTTACCCTTCCCCCGCCCTCCAAAACAAGTTAAAATAAACTTGGTACCCAGACGATTGCCTAGAAACCAAGAGACAATAAGTCCATCAAGGAAGTTAATTGGACCAATATTTGGCACTGATTGGAAATATCAAATTACATTCCTAAAATTCTCTCCTCTGTGATAACTATAACTCCGAAACTACTGATAACCGTGACAGTGATAAATTTGTGGTATTTTCATGACATTTCCTTTGCTGTACTTTGAAGCATGGTTGACTAAATAGAGTCAGGCAATCTTGCTGCATTAGAAGCCCTACCTTGGGTACAATATGTATTTATGGAGACATTTCCTCTTAGCTTTAAGGGTATTAATTGGCAATTTAAAACTGCTGTCATATTGTTAGTTAGAAATTAAAGCATTACCTGGAAATGTTTCTCTCTCTCTCTCTCTCTCTCTCTCTCTCTCTCTCTCTATATATATATATATATATATATATATATATATATATATGGTCTGGGTGAAATATAAGGAGTCTTGCAACTTTATCAAAAGGTATCATTTTTCTCTAGCCCAGATAATTTTAAAATATCACCCAAAAGAAGTGTATCTTTTACTTATATAACCTTTTGTGGGTACTGCCTTCTTTCTTCTTTGGATTTAAAGGCAAAAAGGAAAAAGTTTCAGGTGGTTACCTTTGATTGTGAGCTACATTAGATTTTGTACAGCGAGAAATAGATCTGGCAGCCTGTTGCTTAGAAAGAGGTTTGGTTTGATAGCTAGAAAGCAGGGCAAGGAGCCACTGATCAATGAACTAGAAGGGAAATTAAGGATCATGGAATTCAACTACCTCGTTCCACAGGTGAGAAAACTGAGGCCCAGAGAAGTTAAGTGACTTGCCCAAATCATCCAGAAGTTCACTTTTGGCTCAGGACTTTGCGTTTAGAAAGTTGGTCCCACCCTATCACTCTCCCACAACTCCATGGAGCCCCAGTCTCTGCAGAGAACATTACTCTGTTCCGTGGCCTGTTTGCAAATCTCGGGGGAAGGATCTTGGTGTCCTTCCCAGGCACTTGGAAGTGAATCAAAACCTTCACAACAGCTGGACTTGGCATGACACCCTTTGGTGGTTCTGATCAAAGTCCTTCGCCCATGCTAGTCAGCAGCCACTTGGCCCACTTGCCAGTGGGCATGTAGCTTCCCTTGATTTCAGTGAGTAAAGACTCCAGTGGAGTTCAGGGTCCAGAATAGAGCACGCTTACTTTTAGGAACTTGGTTCTCTGCCTCATGCTCGCCTCCATCGAATATGAATTTTGAAGTCAGAGCATTGGTTTCAAAACCAGAGTCCTGGTTTTGAGTCAGTGTGAAACCCAGAGACATCATGAGTCGCGAGGGCTGATATTTCAGTAGAACATTCTAATTCAACTGTTAAAATAAGCCTGTCTGGGCTGTCTGCCCTTTGTCAATGCATAATTAACATTTATATCCCTTCCTAGTTTGTAAAGCTCTTTACACATCTTTATTTCATTTTAATTTTCACAACACTCTTCTGAGTATTATTATGATTATAATATGTATAATATACTGCTTTGAAATTGTAAAGAATAGGAAATTCAGGCCCAGAGAGGTTAAATAACTTGCTCAAGGTCTCTCAGTCAAGAGGCCAGAGAGTGGATGGGCTAAGAATACAAACTCAGGTAGCTTCACTCCAAACACGGTTATCTTAAGAGCTGCCTTTTAAAAGCTTACTTTTTTTCTACTCCTGGGTAGAATTAGAGCTATTTGCCTCCTAAATACTCATTAACTTTTTTCTTTAGAAAACCCAGTTCTCAAAAAAATTCTTGATTCAGAGCTGGTACTGCTGCTGGTAACTTGAGGTTTGGGTAAAGTCTCGCCCCTTCCACTTAAGGATCTGGGCAATGTATGACAGCTGCAGTCCATGAAGGGTGAGTTCTATGGTGAGACAGACAGGAAGCTTGCAACTCTGGGAAAATGAGGAGCCAGAGAAAAGGGAAGACTCACCCCACCCCATTTAAGGGTGAAGAAATGGCCGCTGGTCACAAACAGGGCACACAGGCCTCTCTGTTTGACTGTCTCTCTCAGCCAAGCCCTGGTGGGGCTTCGTGGTTTAGACAGGCTGGGGGACAGGGCCCTGTAGGTTAGAATATTTACAGAGCTGACTGCTAAGTGGTATGCTCCAGGGAGTAAATCTTTTTTTTTGTTTGTTTTGTTTTTGGGTTTTTTTGAATATTTACTCTTTCGAGAGGCACTATCTGTACCAAGGTTTTCAAAATACGTTCCATGGATACGCTTCCGGTCAGATATTAACTTATCACAGAAACTTTTTTGTGTGATAATTAAAACCTTCCCTGAGCCTCAGTGGACCCATCTGTGAAATGAGAAGCATGTTCTTGTGTTTTTTTTGTGTTTTTTCTTTTCCATTTCTATGGAGCCAGTACTATGAAGCACTGGAGCTTCTATAGAGAAGGGAGTGACGCACATTCAAGTTGTTAGTGTGATCACAATTGTGATTTTTGGGGAGAGGAGAAGGAAGGGAATGCCAATACATTTTCTGACCGTTCCATTAAATTTGTCTTGTGTGTGTTCACATTGTTTTCAATAGTTTTCTTATTGTAGGGAAATAGAATTTTGTCTTCATAATGGCTATGAAGTAAAAAATAAAAATAAATATTATGCACAGTCCTGTCTCCATAATTGGGAGTTGTAATATACTTTTTAAAAAATATATTGCTTTCATGAGAGGGGAGGTTGGATTTTAATCCTTTCTTCAGAAAAATGTGTTTATCCACTGATTGGTATAGTTGTCATTGTATATAATAGATACAATTTACATTATATTTGTATAGGTTAGGGTTGCCAGATAAAATCGAGGCCGCCCGTTAAATTTGAACTTCAGATAAACAACAAATTGGTATCTGAAGTTTAAATTTAACTGGACATCCTGTTTTTTATCTACTAAATCTGGCCACTCTAATCAAGGTGTATCCCCCAGTCATTTCTATCCATCACTCATCGGCAGTGAAACAAAACTGAGGGACTGAGTTTGTGCTGGTGCTGAAGCCGTGCTTTCTCCTAGAGATGGGTCTGAGGAGTCTTAGCTCCGTGCTGCTGCGATCTAAAGAATCAAGCAGCTTTCCTGGAAAGATTTTCAAAATCTATTATCAATGTAATCATCATGAAAATATTTGATGAGAACACTGCATCACGCTGTATAATAAATTTAAGGAGAAAAGTCAAAGCAGTGGTATTTTCATCAGGCCTTTGGATGTCAGGAGAAAATAGTTCCACACTCAGCGAATATAGATAGGTCTGTTTCGGGCTGTGTTAAATCCAATTGTGTGCAGGTTCTGAATAATCAGGAGTGACAGCATAAGCACTTTCTCTTCAAAGTGATTTTACAGAAGGCATTATTTCCTAAGGAAAGTACACATAGAGCTCTCATAATGCTGAAAGAGCACTAATGTATCAATTTATTGGTGCTGGTGTCATGAGCTGGAGTTGCAAATTGTGTTCAGATTTTAAACTTGACTCACTGTTGCTGTTGTGGGAAGTTCCCTTCCCATGATCCAGTTTGTTTCAAAAAATTCTGGAATGCTTTTTGAGTTCCCATGTGAGAGAGCCTTCAAGGCTCTTTGCAGAAGGTTCTAACTTCACTTTGTGAAGCCAACTCAAACACGATGAAAAACAATAGTTTAGTTTTCCTCAATAAAAAGGGGGGGGAAGAAATTTTTGAGTTGGGCTATGTAATTTCAGCTTCCCTAAATAAGTCCTTTGGAAAGTTGTGGGGGGAACAAGTGTGTGATTTTGGTCTTGGCACACAACTTTGGAACTCACTTTTTTTAAAATGTCTACCATGGATTTTCATAGCAGATTTCTTCCCTGTGCGATATGTTCCATAGCTAAGTAATAGGTCTGATGGGGGTGCCAAATTTTTCAACAACTTTTACTTTCCAGAGGAGGGTTAAATGGTGCTCTTAATAACTTGAAAGAAAAAAAAATGTCAAGGTTTACCACAATTCTCAGTCACAGGCTAAAAGTTTTCAAGCGTTTTATGACTTGGAGCCTATTTGGTCTCAAGAATATCCCCCAAGAAGAAGGAAGCAGAAAGAGTTCAAAATGGAGTGCCTCTGAAAGAGAGAGAGTAGTTTGCTCTGCAGCATGCGTTCCTGTTATCTTTATGTGGTCTTGTGTGCCGAATGTTGCTTAGTTTCATTTGTCACCTACTCTCTGTAAATCATCTTGGAAACGTCAAGGGTGCTGACTCACGGATCCCTCATGTTTTCATATGGTCTGTGTTCCTTTTGATGCCATTTACAGAGAAGTAGCAGTCATTCCCCTTTTGACCTTAACGAGTAGGGACTGATAGGTATATTTTGTGGATGTATTTTCCCTCGCCATTGAAAGGTATACTTCATGCGAGCAGGAAGAGCCATCTTCATTAAAAAGTAAACACAGAGTCAATGGCCATAGCAAATTAATTACTCTGTTGCTCAGCTGACTCTTGTCTGAGTAGGTTGGCATCACTCTCTCGTGCCTTAAATCTTTCCCACTCTGCCTATAAACATGATCACCTCCCCTATTTAAAATAATAAATAAGAGCCTTCACTCACCCTGTTTAATGACTATGCGTGCTACTTCTTTTTACCACAGAACCTCTTAAACCAGTAGGTGATGCTCACTGTCCCCATCATTTGTAGTTGCATTACTCTGGGGTAGGTCCAGAGCTGCGACCATGTAAGAGTAAGGCTATTCCTGCTTTTATGTCGCCATCTGAACACAATGCGTTTGTGAATCCACTGAATGATGTACAAGAAGCACACACGTGACGCTTTCTTACCTTTGTCATTATTTCTTCTCTTCTAGGCATCTCAGTTACGAAGAAGACACATACATGTAAGTAATGCATTTTTTTTCTTGTCCCAAGTTTTCTCAAGAGTCGGAATTCGCATATGTCTGGCTGCTGTGACCCTTCAAGTATAAACTAATGTTTCAGCTGTGATCCATGGTCAACAGAGGTCATACTTTTCTACCTGTAGTGGTCGGAAGTGGTACATTTCCACCTGTTTGTACTGAGTCTGTGTTATAGAGAGTCTAGCCATATTCTGATGAATTCTAGTGATTTAAGCTATTAGGCTATAGAAAAATCATAAAATCTAGCCAGGAGGATCATTTAATAACTTACTGATCACCCCTATTCTGGATCCTTCTTGGAAGAGTTGGTATGTTTCTAGGAAACATCACCTTGATTTTGTTTAAACTTTGGTCTCCTTTTCCTCACCACTAGTTCTTGATTTAGGTCATCTTGTACTTGTGTCTGTGGAGTTGAGATACCGACTGGGAATATAGGCGCCGTTGTGCGACCATGAGTGTGGCCTCAAGGGCCCTGGTTAATGGCATCGGTGGTTTGATGTGGAAATGTGTGCTGGATTTACACTCTGTATTCATCCCCACTTCTCAGGTTCAACTGCTTTCATCAGTTGCCTTCATTCGAACTGTACCATTAGTTTACAAACTCACGTCAATGTAAAGTGTTGTGATTTGCAATCTGAGCAGTGATGTTTGACTGTGCTTTGAACCTCAGGGTGAAACTAATACGTCATTGATACAGGCAGTCAACTTTCACTGTACTTGACCAGCATATTTAGACTTTGATTTAATAGTGTCATTAGGATTAGATACCTATTGTAGACCACAGGTATGTGCTACCTATGAGATGTGTTTGGGCATCCTTCTAAGGCAAGCAGTGGAGATAATTATGGCACAATTTAGGGTGGACAAAGATGTGTCCCCAAATTTCTCCTAATTACACTTTCAAAATTTTTCATTTCATGTGACATATTTGGGTGAGAAATATCTGTGTAACATCAAAGCAGTTTATCTTGTGCCTCAGTTGATTCTTGAAACCTGCTCTTGGGTTTGTCTGTCTGTCTATCCGTATTTGTAGCAAACAGAAAAAGCAAAAACAAACAAACAAACAAAAAATGAAAAACAAACAAACACCAAATTTGGTGGTTGCCTGACTTTTAGGGCCCAGTCTTGCATTCTCTCCACATGGCTCTCCCATGGGCTTCAATGGAATGTTTGTCTGAGGAAAGATGTAAAGGTCAGGCCTGTGATGGACACATGGTCAGGTCAGCACCTCCACCTTTCAACGCACAGTTCCAGTTGGCTGTCCATCCATCAGGGTAGTCTGTGGCCCTTATCTTTTTGGGGGTTGTTTTGTCATCGTCGTTGTTGTTGTTCTTGCTGTTGTCGGTGCATAATTGAGCTCATGATGACTAAGAGATTGACAGTACAGGAGACTGAAGTCCTCTGTATATCCGCAGGGCAGGCATGGTACAGAGCGCTTCCTTGCACAGCCTTGCCCATGAGCTCGTCCCTGGCCTGGAGGGACCCACTCTAGAGGTGGTAAGTAATTCAGTCTTTCTGCTAGCTCAGTCCTGGGCCTCTCCCGAACAGGAGTGGATGATTGTGCCTACTGTTTATGGCAGATTGGGGTATGGACTCCTGGCCACCTGGCAATATACAGAAAGCCACTAACTATTTGCATTATGACTTGGCTCTTGGATATGTGGACAAAACCACTAGTTCAATTCCACTGGGTACTCTTTGTATCCAATGAGACAGAGACCATAGATGTCAGTTAATATGTGGACTGCCCACCCATAAGGACCTTCAAGGAATTGTCATCCCTGAGAATAATTTCATTCGTCTATTACAGAAACAATAACCTGTGGTTGGATTTCAATTCATGAAAGGATTTAGGTGACAGCCTGAGAATAGTGACTGGTGAGGAAAAATTGAATTTCCACTAAGAGGCAATATAATCAGGTTGGCCTTGCAACAAAGGCTTAACTAACTGCATCAGCTATATACCTGCTTTAAAACAGAATCGAGATATAGCCCAAGTGGGCGTAATTTGATTGCCTTTCTAACGAAGAAAATGAGCAGGGAAATTCGTATGCATGCAGCATTAAGTAAATGTAGAAAGACTTAAAATAAAGCTCCCTTCATGTAACACAAATATTAAATTGACAGAAAGATTTAGATCAGAAATCATCTTGGTTTCATTTTTTTGGTTGATGTTCACTTTCATGATTTACTTTCAAAATAAAATGGCCCAATCAAGTTGGGAAGGATAGCACCTGCATAGACAGTTGACACAAAATTTTGCACAAGCCAAGAAGAAATTGATTTGTCCAAGCTGCGTGTTACTGAAAGTCTTATGCCACTAAAATGTGGAGATTGTTTTTGTCACCAAACTGAGCAGACAGCTCATCATATTTCTGATCTTAGCATCTCTACAAGGCCCACAACTTGTGAGGAGGAAGAAAATCAGCCGATTCTTTCTCTATTAACAGCAATACGAATGACTTCTTTCGCATCTGTCGGATTTTTCTTGAACACTGAACTGTCCTAACTTGCTTATAAGTTTTCTTCAGATGTTAAACTCTAGCTCCTCTTAAATCATCCCAACATCTGTTCTTCAAAAAGTTTCACTATCAGTGAAGTGTATGAATTCATTTTTGTACTGTCTCACGACTTCCATTTTTAGCCAGGGTTCTGGAAACCTTGGTCAAGGCTTGACTACATAATCATCGACAGCCAAAGTCACCCCACATTAGCACTTTCAATCTGGGTTTCCTAACTGCCCTCGCAGAGAGATTGTTCAACTTACAAATTAACATGTATAGTGGCAGAATATATTATCAGAGCAGAGTGTCAGCTCATCGGTCAGATGTGCGAGAACTACAAATGAACCTGAATAGTTGTGACAGCTGATAATATTTTAGGCCACCTTGTTATCTGGAAAGCATAGGTATTGCATCTCTAATATATATATATATATATATATATATATATATATATATATATATATATATATACATACACACACACACACACACACACACACTCTCTCTCTCACACATTTAGCTTCAGAGGAATCCGCAAGCATGGTCTTTGGAGAGCTCAGAGTCTCCTGAGTTCCTGAGAAGTAAACAAACACCTTCGTGTTTGTCATTAACTTTGACCCAGGGGAAAGGCAAAGCTTTGGGGCTTCTAGTACAAAGTCATCATGACCACATTGGTCAAGGAATTCTTGTATTTTTTATGTTCTTCAATTGTTGATAGGAAATGTTGCTGTTGGTTTTGGGTGTGTGAACATAAAAGGGAGTTTTTACGTTGGGGGATATGGACATACTAGAGAACTTTTACACTGTGGTATACTTTTGGTGGTAATTAGATAGCACCTGTATTTGGTTGGACACATTCAAGATTGCTTTTGCTTTGGTGTTTCACAAGTTTGTTCTGATCTCTTTCCTGCTGAAATAGCACCATGTGGATAAGTATCTTTTTCTTGGAACCAGCTGCTGTCTTGGTTTTTATTATTTGCCAAGGACAACGGGCTGTTTGCTCCTGACTTCTTAATCTAATTCCACTTGGATAGTTTTGCATTCACTAAAATGTTAGAATATGACAAATGTGGAGGTGAAAAAGTGAAAAATGCAGTAGCTCTTAGCTCCTTCCAGCTACTGGGAAGTTTAACATCATAGAGGCATAACCTTAGGGATTATGTAAGCCGGCCACCACATCACAGACCCAAAAGATACCTGGTCGGCCCCTGGATTGCTTCCAGAGGCAACATACCACTGTCTCTTCCTTCTGTTCTCATCCTTGTTTATATTCCTTATTCTTCCTGTTTAAATCTGTTCTGCATGCTTCCTTCCAACTCAGAAACAGGCACTTACAAGCATGCAAAAACTACAGGTTGCTCAGTAAGCAGCCAGAAAAATGTGTCAGTTTATCCAATTTAACTTTTCTCCAATAGATTACACAATGAAATATGCTTCTGAACCCTCCAAAATATTTTAATTTTCACACAGATTGCCATTAAAAGGTAATTTAGTACATTTCCAAATGTTTGGCTGCAGCAGGCTAACACTTCAAATATAAAATTAAAGCACTATATTATTTATAAAGAGATTTATTTCTCAATAGTAAAACTATTTGAGAAGAAATCAGAATAGTTCTTGGAGAAATAATCCTTCGTATCTGTAAAAAGTGTTTATTGCAATCATTTAAAGTGGAATAGGTTAATGCATTCACTTTTCACCCCTAGAGACTTGGGTTTGAATTTGACTTAGAGAAAATTAGTTTTGAGGCCTCAATCTCCTCTTCTTAGGCAGTTGTTGATATCACAAAACCAACCCAACAGTTTGTCACGACTGTTGCCGTTTACGAGGAGGTCCAAGAACTAGAGTAACCTTATTTTATCATATTCTTTTCCTTTCCTTGAGGCCATTCCTTTTGATTGTAGACTCTTAGCAACCCCAAACTTGGGGCTCACCCATATTATTTTTACAATCCAGGAAAACTCAGGAACCATTCTTGGCAAAGCTAATGGAAGGTGCTTTGGTTATATAGTTAATAGGTTGCTGTGACAACCCATGTGACTCATGGCATGACTCACAGCAATTATAATTTCAGTTGCTGGCGGGGTTTCATTAGGACAGACCTGAGAAGAAGCCACACCGAAGTTCTTTCAGTAGACTTGCATCCAGATCCCGTGTACCCATTGACAAACACTCGGGAAAGGGGATAACCTCGTGCTCATAAAGTAGCCCGAGGATTCATTCTTAGCTTGCAAAGACCATTGGCCATCCCAGACATTAAGCTTGCTGAAGATGGGATGTAACCACAATACATGTGCTGGCCTCTTAGAGAGCTCACCAATGGACAACCATTTATTGAAGACCTACTGTGTGCAGACAGGTTTTTTGCCCTCAAGGAACTTAATGGACTAAGTGGAAGATGGGGACTTGGGGGAAAGGGGGACACTTAGTCACAGAAAACAATCTGAAACACAAATGCCAACTGTGTGAGTCTTCTTC